AGTTTATGATCTTTCTCGAATGAAGACTTAGAAGAATTATACAAAGAATTAGATCGTGAACAGTTAAAGAAGGAAGAAAACGAAGAAGAAACTCCAATAATTATGAAAACGACCTATCTAAAGCGTATCCTTTCAACTATGGAAAGTTTGACGGATGAACTTTGTGAGTTAGACAATGATTGGGAGCGAAGTGCAAATGTAAAAAAGGAGCATCATCGCATCCATTCGGCCATATTCCGAAATTCTTAATGAAATAAAACAAAAATCCCAACAATTAAAGATATAATTTTTTTTTCCGAAAAATGTAAGAGATCCGAAACTAAAATTTTTTTAATAAAAACATTTCACTTTATTTTATGATCAGATACATTTTAAAAATTAAATTTATATGTATTTTGTATTATATTGTATCAATAAACAAAATTATTTGTTTATTTTTCATTTATGTAGAACCTAAGCCTATACCTCACTGTAAATATGGATTCATTTTACGCTGATTCGATTTGCGCCGGCTTTTGTAGGAACGGAACTGCGGGGTAAACCGGGGGCAACTTGTATTTATTGCATTTAGATAAAAGTGTATTTGATATAAAACATTTTATATCAAATATATGTCAGCAAATGTAATTTCTCGTTTATTCTGGTAGTATTTTAGCCTATTCGTTTTTTTTTCTAATATTGTCTGTATTGCGTTATAATTTAAATTTGTACGTATGCCTTTAAGGTATTATATGTTTATTATTTCATTTTACGTATATAAATCATTTATATTTTAAAGCAGGCATCGTGATTTGTTACTTTATATAAGAAATCCTTTCTTATGATCATAGAATTATACAATGAAGGAAGGACTTACTTATAGAAAAATACGATAAATTGTTGTTAATATAATATTCAAATAAATAAACAGATCTTACAAAAAAATAATAATAATAATGCTAGCAAAAATTCGCGAAGGATGTATTACAAAACAATTAACACTACTTATAATATTGTTTCAAGTGTGATGTGACATTATCTTGCGTATCTTCTACATCTGTTGTGTTTTTTACTATGTATTTTCTGTAATGTTTCTTGTGTTTATAATCTTAAATCCTTCAATCTCTCCCCGTTTTTTTCGCCAAGAAGGCTAAAAATTCATAATTAACATGTTGTTATTATGAACTTTTTATTATTCTAAATTTCGTTTAACCTGTAGCTCTACAGTTCCTAATCAAATTCATTCCGGGGATTTTTATTTAGGAGTGATTTTGATATGGACTTGATCTAGAAATAGTAAACATTAAACACGTGTCATATTGTTAAATGTTTTTTAATTAATTAAAGAGATTTTTTCACCAGTATAAAGATTTTAACACAGTACTTCTATTTTAGTAGCCGTGAATTGAATTTACTCTGGCTCGTACCAGTATCACGTGTTTCATAGTGATATAATAATAGTAATAATAATAATAACAGAAGTTAATGTTAATGTAAATGTTATAATAATGTTAATGTAAATGTAGTTTTTATTCGTTACGAAAATATTTTATACTAGCTGTTACCAGCGGATTTGCCCGCGCGGATTTTGCAAGCAAACCCCATTTATATTCAGTATTTCAACAACCATAGTAATAAGAAACAAAACACCTTTTTTGCCGAGAAATAAATATAATTTTAAAAACAAACGTTTTCAGCCTAGTTAATAGGTCATCTTCAGGTCGAAAACTAAAATGGAACGTAAATGTTCCATGAATAGAACATAAAAATTTTTAAATCAAAAATTTTACAAGAGAAAAAATAACAGAAGAATATATAAAAATTAAAATAAAACAATAAAACAAAAATAACATAAATCTTCATTATACTAATTCTGGTTGAAGTTTCTAGTAAATTTCTTAACCAAATATTTCCATGCCGTAGGTAGGCTCTCCTCATCCCTCGCATTTAAACAGCCTTAAGTATGCCTTCTCATGATAACCAAATGCTTAGTCTTGTCTGCTCTTGTCAAAACAAAATCATTTATCCTTAACCACTCTTTCGTGAGCCAAATGTCCCTACTAGAAATACCACTCTGTCCTGTTCTTCTGCCGTTTGTTAATGACCGCTTTCCATCTAAAATATTCCTTTTCTAATGTATCCAGTCCAACTATCCCTCTTTCAATCTCTTTTACTGACGTTTCCCAACCACCTCAGTTTGGCCGGATCATCATTATATATGGTGTCCTCCAAGCAAATAAGCTCACTCAATATCCCATACATTTTGTTTTTGGCTATTCTAATAGACTTTTTGAGGCACGCCAAACAGATTATAATTTTTAGAGAATGGCATTCCTTAGGGATGCTAATTCGGTAAATGGGCATGGGATACACTTTATTCTTTAAACATTCTTTTAAAAATTCTAATTTACAACTAGCTTTAACCAGCTTAAAAAATTTCTTAACCAAATAGCCAAAGAGCAGACAAGACTAAGCATTTGGTTATCATGAGAAGGCATACTTATAACAAGGAGTTGCATAATTACATCAAAAAGACGGAATGTGAAATTGTTGGCGACAATGTAGTTGGATCTTTGGACAGAAGGGTCAGGAAGCTGGAACGCTCGGGACTTTCTGCTGTTTTACCTTTTCTCAAGAAATGCCGGAACCCGAGGCCCGGAACTCCAAGATTGTTTGCTTTCGCTAAGACCCACAAGACCGGAATGGAGTTAAGGCCAGTTGTAGAGAAATGCAGAGGACCCACCTTTATATTAGAAAAAAGGCTGCACGGGTATTTATCCTCGCACCTTGATGATGATAATCTAGTGGCACAGGATCCTCTTATTGTTGTCAAGGAGATACAAGATATATCTTTAATGGAGGATGAGGTAGCGACCGTCTTAGATTATGAAAGCATGTATCCTTCAGTAATGATTGAGTCTTGTGTGGATGCGTTATTGGATTTCTTGTACATAAAGAACTCCCAGTTGCTTCTTTACACGCAAGAGCTAGAAGAACTGGCTAACCTGGTGTGCTGTGAGTCGTGCTTCATCTTTTGTGGTCAGATCTACAGACAAAAAAGAGGGGTTCCGATGGGGAGTCCCCTCTCAGGAATCCTTTGCGAATTAGTTGTCAGAAGACTAGAAAGAAGGGTTCTTCATGGGTTCAAAGATGATATCGTATATTTCAGCAGGTATGTGGATGACATTCTGATCTTATGGAAGAATAATAGGAGGGTGCATGAATTTATGAGTAGAATTAATGATAACAATGATGGGCTTAGATTGAGATTAGAACAAAAGAGTTCCATGAATGTGCACTTCTTGGACATTAATATCCGGTTTATGAAAGGGCATTTGTCCACAAGTGTTTATATTAAACCTACACACACACCATTATATATACCATCCCAGTCTATGGATCCGTATCAGTATAAGATGGCAGCCTTCCGAGCGTTAATAAGGAGAGCTTATTTATATTGTGACCAAATCGCTGACAGAGAGAAGGAGATTGATAGAGTATTGCAGGTGGCCCGGACCCTGGGTTACAGAAAAAGTGTAATTGTCGGAATGCTTAAGAAGTATGAAAGGGGCATAGTAAAAAGAACTTTAAGAAATGTTCCTACTAGGCTCACGAAATTTACTTATAATAGTAGTATGAATAGTGTTATGAAGGAAATTGCTAGACGAAAGGAATCAAGAATGGTATTAAGAAGAGCCCCTAATTTGTATAAGATCTTGAGAAACGATAAGGATAATATCAGAGCGGAGGAGAGAGCAGGGGTGTATAAGATTCCTTATGAAAACTTACAACTGGACGTTAAAAAAGATTATATCGGCGTCACCACCAGAAACTTGGGAGTAAGGCTCAAAGAACATAGATATGCCATAAGAAAAGCGTCTAATTCAACGGTTTTGTCCCAAATGGCGCAAACACAAGGATCTGAGGTAAAATGGGACGAGGCAACAATCATCAAACCTCTGTCTTCCCCAACTCTAGCAATGACGGCAGAAAAAATAGAAATATACAGAAGTAAGATAAGAGAAGGCTGTTTAAATGCGAGGGATTCCGAGAGCCTACCTTCGGCATGGAAATATTTGGTTAAGAAATTTACTAGAAACTTCGACCAGAATTAGTACAATGTAGATTTATGTTATTTTTGTTTTATTGTTTTATTTTAATTTTTATATATTCTTCTGTTATTTTTTCTCTTGTAAAATTTTTGATTTAAAAATTTTTATGTTCTATTCATGGAACATTTACGTTCCATTTTAGTTTTCGACTTGAAAATGACCTATTAACTAGGCTGAAAACGTTTGTTTTTAAAATTATATTTATTTCTCGGCAAAAAAGTGTTTTGTTTCTCTTTATTTAGTTGCTGAGCGCTTTTGATATTGTAACCATAATAATTTTTATATAACACCTAACACTGAGAACGATGAGAATTGCCGAGAATCAAACGAACTATTTTCAATTTGATCAATTTTCTGGAACGTTTACAATCGTTCTATAATCGAACCAATATGCAATAACAAATTCTAATTTAAAACAGTTCGAACATTTTTAAAATCGAAATACATAAAAATATTTATAACAATGTCTGAAATGTTATTAATTTAATACACCTAAGTACTCGATGAAGACTAAAACCTCTCCCTCTCCCGCCGGCGGGAGAATTTCGAAAAATTCCTTCTTAGTGTGCATTCTCATGGCATACCCTACTAAAACGCAGATAAAAACAGAAAATCGCATCTAAAATAGTACAGTAGAAGCTGTTTTTCCGGTCGAGCCTTAATCCTCTCCCTCTCCCCCTGGGGGGATGTTCAAAAATCTCTTCTTAGTGTGCGTTTTCATGAAGTACCCCAACTGTGTACCAAATTTCTGCTCTTTAGGTTCAGCGGTTTGCTCTGGGCGATGATGAATAAATCAATCAGTGACTCAGTCAGTCAGGACAAGTAATTTTATATATTTAGATTAGTAATTTAAAAAGTTATTTTGGTAAAATTAATATTAAAACAAATTGAGTTATATGTAAGATAATATTAAAATTTTCCCAAAAAGTGCTTTTTGTCAGAAAATGGTATATGTAAAACTTCACATTTACTCTTTGTCACTCTCAAATCAAACTTGGAAAGAAAATTTTTAAATTCCGATTCTGCGTCGATCCAATTGTCAATCAATGGAATTGTGTTGAGCATATCTTCAGTCTGAAATCAAATGTCATTTTTAATCTCCTCGAGATTAATTTTATACAAAATTTCCATACGCTACCTTTATGTACTTCTTCCACTCTTCGTTGGTACTAAGATATTGTACAATTGGAAACAACGGACATTTCGTAAAAAAAATAAAGAAAAAATATCCTCCGGGCTTCAAAATTGAAGAAATAACAGAAAACAATTTCTGATAATCATTTATGAAATGAAAGACGTAGAAAGACACAACTTTATCGTATTTTCCAATTTCTTTTAAATCGGGTCTAGAAATTATAATTACAAATTACAATTTTTATTATATTATAAAATCTACTTTTAAAATATAATTATTATCTATAAGTTCTTTCACTTTACATTCAAAATAATTTGTACTGTTGCAGTTAGATTCTGTACACTGAGTGGCCAAAAAATTAGAGACACCCTCTAATAACGAGTTGGTCCACCTTTAGCTCTGATCACAGCCGATATTCTTTTTCATATGGATTCAACAAGTTGCTGATACCGTTGCTGAGGAATGTTGGGCAATGCTGACATAAGGGCAGCTCTAAGTTGGTCAGATTGGATAGTGGCGTTTCCATGTTTTGAAGTGATCATTTGATTTCGTCTCACAAATGCTCCATGGAATTGAGGTCAGGGGACTGAGCTGGCCATAGAAGCAGGTTAAACTCTGAGTGATGTTCCTCAAACCAATTTGAGACCGATCGAGCAATAAGATGGTAAGATGCATTGTCGTGCTGAAAGTGACCATCTCCATCAGGGAACATTACAGCTATAAACGAGCGTACGTGATCAGTAACGATGTTGAGGTAAGCTGTGTTATTCAGAGATGTGTCCATAGATATAAAGAAATCCAGTGTACTTCAGTAAAACATTCCCCACACCATAATTCCACTGTCACCAGCCTGAAGAGTTGTCATTTCACAGGAGGGGTCCATGAATTCGTGCTGTTTGCACTATATTCTGATCCTGTCATCTGCATTGTAGAACAAGAAACAAGATTCATCAGACCAGGCTACTTTTTTCCAGTCCTTAAGTGACCAATTTCCTTGTTCCTGGGCCAACAACAGGTGCCTTTTTCTATTTTTCTGTCATTCCAAAGGCACTCTTGATGGTCTCTGACTCCTAGAGCCCTCCTTTGGAAAGTCCATCTTGTTATGTAATAGGATATGCTTTGTGATGCAACTGCATTGAATTCAGTTGTAATTTCTCATGTTGTTGCCCTTCTGTTGCTGTGGACTATGTGAGTTAATCGCCTTTCATCTCTCTCGCTCACCAGCCTTTTTCGACCAGAATTGCCCTTATAGCTTGAAGTTTTTTTTCTCAATTGCCACTCTCTAAACGCCCGAAATACTGTTGGGCGAGAAAATCCTAAAAGAATCATTCTTTCAGAGATGCTCTTCACTAGCTCTTCTTGCACCTTCACTTTTCTAGCTCCTCTCGTTTAAAGTCATTCAAATCTATCGTCTTACCCATTTTGACATTAACTTCTATGATAACTACGTTGTCTGAAGCTGAGTATTTCTTATATGAGCAACTATGTGTTGTTACGTCATTCTATGTCACTGTTGTACTAGTTTGCTTTCAAATAAGGAGTGTCTTTAATTTTTTGACCACTTAGTGTATATACAAACGTGAAAACAGTATTTGAAGACATGGCATGCATAAAAGTTATATCGAAGTTTTTAAAAACCGTATTTATGATATTGTGATTTGTTTCTAAAGTATAAGGCTGTCATAACGTGACTGTATACATTATTAATATACAGAAATCAAATTACATTTAAGAAACATTCCTTGCAAAACAAGTTATATTTAAACACTATAGCCAACAGAGCAACTTCATACACAAAATACGAGGGGTGTTCAAAAAGTATCGGACCTTTATTTTTCCCGCGTAAACCAATGACGCGCGGGAGGCCTCCTTCAGTGGATATGTGGAGGAAGTAGTCATGTGCAGTCCTGAATTTTTCCCTCCCACAGGAAGCGTCAGTCACTGGCAGTCGGCTTATGAGTGACAACGTGTAGTGAGTGCTTGTCAGATTCCAGTAAGTTGGAAAACGACTGAACAACATGAGCAGCTATATTGCATCAAAATTTGCCAAAAGCTTGGCGATACGTAAGCGAAAACTATTCGCAAGATTAAACAGGCTTTTGGGGATGATGCCATGAGCAACACATGGATAAAGGAATGGTACAACCGCTTCAAAGATGGCCTCACATCAGTGGACAACAAATCGCGTTTAGGCAGACCCTCAACAAGCTGAAATGAGACTGTCATTACTGTCATTGAGCAAGTGCGGACTTTGGTCAAGGTGGACCGTCGTATAACAGTCAGAGAACTTGCGAACGAGACGGGAGTAAGCATTGGATTGGTACATTCAATTTTGTCTGAGGATTTGGGTATGAAGGGAGTGTCCGAGAAATTCGTACCGAAACTGCTAACAGTAGAGCAGAAGCAAAGGCGTCTGGAAATCGCACAAGACATGCTGGACAATGCAAGCAGTAATCCCATTTTCCTAAACCCCGTAATCACAGGAGATGAGTCGTGGGTACGACCGAGAAACCAAGATGCAGTCGTCACAATGGAAACATTCGACATCCCCGAGGCCAAAAAAAGCACGGCAGGTCAGCAACAATGTAAAGGTCATGTTGACAGCTGTTTTCCACTCCCGTGGGGTGATGTATCATTAGTACGCACCACAAGGTCAAACCACCACAAAGGACTACTACCAGGAGGTCCTTAGTCGTCTTTGTGATGGTGTGTGATGCAAACGATCGGATCTGTGGTCAACCAAAACTTGACAGCTTAATCATGATAACGCATCCGCCCATTCTGCTCATTTTATTCAGACTTTCATCGCCAAACACAACATTCCTGTGATTCGTCACGCTCTGTAATTTCTCGATATGGCTCCGTGTGACTTTTGGCTATTTTCCAAGCTGAATTCAGCTAAAAAGAACCCGATTTGAGTCAAGAGAAGACATCAGGCAGAATGCGACGGACTGGCTGATGGTCATCCCAAAAAAGGCGTTCCAGCAGTGTTTCCAGCAATGGCAGGAGAACTAGGAGAAGTCTATACATCACCAATGTGATTACTTTGAACAGGTTTTGTATCTCAAAATCAATAAATGTATTTTTGATGACCAAAGGTTCGATACTTTTTGAACACACCTCGTACAACACGGGCACAATGAGAAACACCACAGTCATGGCTGCACCTAAAGAAGTGGCGTAGCGTGGGTGTCAGCCGCCCGGGGCGGAGGAAAATTTCGCCACCCTTATTTAGGTATCTCAATTTAAAAGACTAAAATTCAGTTTTGTCACAGAACAAGCAATGGAAACTTCCGGAAAAGATTCCTTTCAGTGTGAAGTCGGAGGTCACGTTTTGCTGTGCTCCCGTTTTTGCGAAGTTATTTGTGGATTTTTTCGGTCTTTAGTGAGTGAATTATACGTCGCTGGACTTGGGAAGACGTGCTGCTCACACTAATATCACTGTTTTTTGGATATTCTGGCTTTCCGCGAAAATACGGACATCGAAACCCTGTGGACTTCCAGACCTACTTTCTGCATTCTACAGTGTAAGTGGACCGCTTTTGTAATTTTAACGCGAAGTGTATCTCCTGCCGCCATTTATTAATTGCGCTATTAAGACCCTGCTCTCATCAGACAAACTTGGTTCAACTTGTAAAAACTTAATACAGGACTACGAAGTTTTTATTTCGGCATTTTTGTTTTCATTTTAAACAAAGGGCATTGTCTGGTCCACGTGCTCGTTGCTTGCCCTGGGGGCATTCAGGACATTCCAGGAAGCTCCTTTGTTTAGTGTCACACGCTGCTATATACAAGTTTTTGTCTCCACATTTCCTTGCTTGGAGGCAAACAGGTGGCTGTTAGTCAGTGAACCTTCTTGTTATTGCTAGTAGCTTTTAAGGGTTGTTTTTATTGCAGCATTTAGCAACCCGTTATTTGTTTATAAATTTTTAATTTAGTAAAGGTGCATAGTATACTGTCTATTTACTTTGAGGCACACATGGAGAGCTCAGGAAAGCCTAGTCAACAACATTTAACTAACTTCGAAGACTCCATTATCAAGTCTGCTGCTTTGCAGCTGGGGAAAATAATGGACTTGTGTCCAGAAAACACCACAAACACGGTAAAGAAGGGGAGGAACAAAGGCTTCAGTTCAGAAGAACGGCTTTAGATCAGAGAACAGGCCTCTCTGTTATTTGCTGCCATAAACCAATTATATGGGATCGTCTCAGAACTGCGCAACAAATCTGAGGCAACAAGTGTGGAGCGGAGTGCTATCAGGCAATCGTATGCTGAGGTTACAAAGCTCAACACACGCCCCAGCAGCACTACTAGGGTCATATCAAGAACCCTTTACAACAAAGTGGACACAGAGGAAACTGGAGGTAACCACGCCCTGCTCATCTACCCAAAACAAGGGGAAGAAGATATTAATATGGAGAAACTTAAAAACGATATTCTGGACAATGTTCACCCACAAGACCTGCAGGTGGGAGTCAAGTCAGTTCACCGTGTTAAAAGGGACGGACTGTGCCTAAGAGTAGGAAGCCCTACAGAAGGGAAGAAATTAAAAACGGCGATTGAGAACATTCCCACTATAAAAGAAAAGGTAAACTGTCATCTGACAGAAAAAAAAAAACCTCGGGTAATCCTCATAAATACCCCTAATTCCATACAAGACGACAAAGTCACGGAAATGATTTATAAACAAAACAGATTGATTTGGAATAACTTAACGTGGGACTCGTTCGCTAGCCAGTGCCAAGTAAGCTTCTCCCTGTCAAAGGGAAGGGTGCGAGAGGGATGCCGCCACATTTTCCTCATGGTATCTCCAACAGTTCGAGATACACTAATTACAGCGAAGCACATTTCCATTTCTTGGGGGAGCATCAAAGTAGATGATTACATACCACTGCTTCGTTGTTACAAATGATGTGGATTTGCTCATGCGGCGAAAGATTGCGTCGAATTACAAAGATGTAGCCATTGTGCCAGGAGTCACCGTTTCGCTGAATGCGCCAAAAGAGATGAGGTTCCTTGCTGCATAAATTGCAGGCAAGCGAACAAAAGCTTACCAAAAGAGCAAAGGATGCCAACTGACCACACAGCTTACAGCCAGGAATGCGCAATAACCAAGAAGATGAAGACCTTAACAGTTAAACGAACCAATTATGGCTGGTAGGCTCAACTGTATAACACATTTGAGTAATAATACCCCACTAAGAACTCCCA